GGGGGGGCCCAGCGGCGACTCCGCGCGCCGCAGCCTCTTCTGCAGTCTCGCCCCTTCTGCAGTCTCTGGATGACAGGCTCTGGGAGTGTGAGTGAGTGAGTGAGTGAGCGAGTGAGTGAGTGACTGAGTGAGTGAGTGACTGGCTCTGGGAGTGTGAGTGAGTGAGTGAGTGAGCGAGTGAGTGAGTGAGTGAGTGACTGAGTGAGTGACTGAGTCTCTGGAGACTGCTGGGAGTGTGAGTGTGCAGTGAGTGAGTGAGTGAGTGAGTGACTGAGTCTCTGGAGACTGCAGTGAGTGAGTGAGTGAGTGAGTGAGTGAGCGAGCGAGGAGGGGGCGAGGAGGACGGAGGGAAGGAAGGAAGGAAGGAAGGAAGGAAGGGCGGATGCGGGCGGGATGGCAGCCAACAAAACTAGAACCCCACACAGAGATGTGGGGAATAAAAGGACCAGATAACCCCACATGTTAAGCTTGTCAGAACTAGCAACGAGAAGTAGAGACTGAGAAGAAAAGAGGACGGAAAGATTCTGGACGATAAAAGTGAATGAGATGAGTGGTGTGTGATGAGTGGTAGTAATGAGAAGTAGAGACTGATCAGAAAAGTGCATGACAACGTGCCCAAATGGAGCGCGCTTGGTCAGTGAACCTGGCTTCCGTTCGATGAGGTGCCAACAACACCGCGCACACACCCGTTGTCACACCGACTTCAGGCGTATACGCGGATCGTCTGCCTCTTCGGAGATGGAAAACGAAAGCTAAACAGTGGTCGATCTCTCAGAAATCTGAAGCTAAGCCCTTCATGGACCGAAACAAACAGCATCACGCGTCTCATGAAGAATCTTTGGTGTCATTTTTCATGACCACTTCTGACCGTCGAAATGGTCACGAAAACTGTCATCAACCTTCCCGTCTTGCGCTCCAGTCATATATCTATCTAGTGTCACGACGCGCAGAAGCAAAGATGTTTAAAAAAAGCAGCCGTTGTTTCTTCGGATTCCTGTGAAAGGATTATGACTACCACTTCGCCCCCAGCCTGCGGCGCAATCATCGAAGCGGTGAGTGAAAAGGTCGTACGTGTGACCAGGAGCCTGACAGTTCGGCATCGCGCGTTGCGCCGCAGATATAAATAAATAAACAAATATATATATATATATACACACATCTGCATGTCTCGTTGGAATGACGAGCAACAAGATTTAAAACAAGCAAAATCCGCGGTGTTTCGCGACCACAGCAGCGTCCGGAGCTGAACCCTGCGTCAGTACTGTAACGTGACTGCACAAAGCTTTGGAGCACCTGAACTGGACCTGAAAACACACTAACATCAATTTTTCTTTGTAACAACCAGAAGTGTTCGCGTGAACGGCGAGGGGAGAGCAGTTCGGGAGAATTGGCTTGCGCAACAAAACAAAGATGAAATATCGTTGTACGCAAAGTATACTGAGGATTCACGTGGCGACGCAGAGTGAAAAGTGCTGTAGAAGTTGATACGCAACAACCGACGGGCGCAAACGCTTGACAGAACCATGCGTCTCCAACAAAGTAGCGGGCGATTTGTCACGCCGACTCCTCACTATGACACAGCAAGAGGGCAGAGCACTTCAAAGAAGCTCTGCGTTTCAAGAAGACATGGTAGCATCTCCTTGCCAAGCGGCAGTAAACCTTCTCGCATACCACGGAGACGTTTCAACGGAGTGCTCTTGGTGCTGATGCGCTTCCAGAAGCTGATCACATCCGGAATCCATTCCACTGCGACCGGCACGCGCCGAATATTCCCCCACGCTTTCGGTCTGACCATGAAAGACTTGACCAGGCTGATCTCGGAGCATCCAGTTGACCGCCGAAGTGGGACCGGCGCAACGGAGCTTGACTCGAAAAGGTATGTCCGGTGCCCCCTCAGCGCTTGCGGATAACAAGCAATCGGCTGATCTCTTCACACGGATGGCGGGCTCACATCATTGAACGCCACCAAAGCACGGAGCGCGTTGGCGTCGATCTGTCCGTAAGTAAAGATCCCGGGCTCCTCGAAGAGGCGTGGCTGAGCGCAGATTCTGCGGCAGGCGCAGCATTTGATGAACCTG